CTATATATATGTACGTATTTAAGACTTAAAATACCTATATGTATACTTATTTATTACCTATATATATATGTATACGTATTTCTTTTATATGTATACTTATTTATTATCTATACGTATTTATTACTTACCTATACTTATTTATTACCTACGTATTTTTTTTTATATGTATACTTATTTATTACCTATATATACATATACGTATTTAAGACTTAAAATACCTATATGTATACATAACCAAGTCGTAAATCCTCCGCAAAACACAATTATGCATTTATTTCTCACTTTTAAGCTCTAATCAAACACTTGTTATTTTCTTCACATTTTTTGAAAAGAGGGGTTCGAAAAATAATTAAAATTCTTTTATACATACGATGATAAATTTATGAAAATCTACGCGTGGGTCATTTAAAAAGCCTGCGTGGGCTTTCCCGTGTCTGACCCGCGGGTCATAAGTTCGCCATCATTGTTCTAGTAGATGCGAAGGCTGGGCAGGTGCGTACTGATAATGGTGTCCTCTGGCCGCTGTCCACCCACGCAAGGAGAAAAATTCTCTGCGTGACAAAACTTACGCGAGTCGATTCGACTTTTCATCGTCCAACGTTTCGACGTTCCGTTTATCCTCTATCTGATTCGCTGTATCGCGGAAACTCGATTCCTTTGGCTTCCTCTGGAAAGAAACGTTAAGGGGGCAGAACAGTTTTGAAATTTTCAAAAAATCGATTTCTTTGTTTTTTTTTGTTTTAAATAGTAGTTTGAAGTCTTGGAAATACGATAGAAAAGGTCCTAGCCTTTAAAACGACTTACTTTGGGGTATAGTAATAAATCCGCGGATACAGAATAATTGAATTTGCATCGCTGTTTACAACTTTAAGCGGTATTATAAAGTGTAAATCGTGTGATTCAAATGTTACTATTGGTGAATCGAATATTAGAGGGACTTGGATTCAATTTAGTTGTGAATTGTAAGAACTGTGAGCGACGATATATAAGTAAAAAAAGTAAGTAAAGGATACANTTGGCACAAATTCGATACATCAGAAACAAATAGCTGCAATTTTCATAATTTTCACAAAAATGAAAATGTTGGATCGTCAATACCTACAGAATATTGTTTACTTTTGAACTTCTCTTGCCTTTTTGTTGCAACTAATCCTGTTTGGCTGGAATCATGCACACCGTTAGGCAATGTGAAAAAAAGTTGTGTAAAAGGATGCCGTTGAAAAGTTAAATAAGAGCCCTCTTTTTTTCTCTTTTAATGTTGTAATAATTTTATAGCTCACAATGTGTCAAAATAAACTACAAAAGCTCATGTCAATCAAATTTGTATTTCTTGTTTACTAGCCGTCCAAAGTGTTCGAAATTTTTAGGGACGTCAAACTGTCCTGCCCCCTTAAGCTTCCCAGTTCGCAAAGATGAGAGCAGCTAAATAGATACGTACGTGTGTCTGCGTATGTGTATATCAGCATCCATGTACATCGGTGTCCTAATTAGAACTGCGTGGATAGTGGCACCGAACAGAATGAGGTGACGGGAAGACGACCCGATGGTAATTTCGCGAAACGAAAGTAGAGCTTGTTCCCGTTGAGACAAGACAGGACAAGCATATACATAATACTTTGTTAAATTGAGAACGCTCGAATTGCTTTCTAACGAAAAAAGAAAATAAAAAGAAAAATTCGCACGAAGGGAATTTGAAATGATGAAACTTCAGTGTGAAAACCAGTTCTGCGGATGCGAGGACGTTCGCGATCGAGGGTGAATCGACGACCAACGAGAACAATGAGGAAAGTCAATTAGAGAAAGCTGGACTACGGAGGAGGAAAGTTGAACAGGACGGGACGAGAGGGGCGACGTAGCAAAAAACAGGGGGGGGGGAAGGATGAAGATGGAGGAAGAAGAAGTAGAAGAAGAGGAAGTGTAGAGAAAGAGCCAGGTAGGCGGGAATTCTGGCTGATGATGGCTGCTGGTCTGGCAAGGTAGAGCAGCCGGTGCTGCTAGAGCGTTTGGTATCCGTGTGGTTCTGAGCGGTAGCGGCTAGGCAAAAGGGGACTAGAGGAGAACAGGGTCGACGACCCTTACACGTGGAGTGCTCGGAAGTAGGCCACGCCGTGACATCACGCAAAAGCAAGATGGCAGTCGGGAAACGAGCACATTCTCCCAAGTATGCTCAGCCTACGAACGTCGACGCGACGCAGGTCGTGCGGAGACGTGCCGACGCCTGTGCAATCGCCGGTGCGAGGGTGCGTTCCGATATTCAACTCTGTCTATCTCTCACCACCACCACGAGACCTCGTTCTTCCTTCTTCTTCTTCTTCTTCTCTCTCTTTCTCCATCAGTCGTCTCCTCTCATCGCGTTTCAACCGTTGCGATTCCATGCGTGCCGAACCACGCCGTGAATATCGGAACGCGTAATTTCGATGCGGCTGCCAACCCGAGTTGCATCAGCGCCTTTCAACTCGCGAGCGTGTCTCTCGACACGCTGGAAATTTCCCCCGATTGCTTTTCATCAAAGCCGTTGGCTTCTTCGGTTCGCTCTATCCACTCCGTTAAATGTCGTATCGCATCGCGCGATACGACAAGAGCCGGTAACGATCTCGGCAGGCGGAACGCTCGAGAGGGGAAGAAGGAAAGAAAGAAAGAAAGAAAGAAAAAGGAAACAAAACAGGTTGGTGTCATTTACGGGAGGATTACATCGTAGGGCGCAATCGGCGATAGAAACAAGAGCGTTAATGCTCTACGAAACGGTGAAGAAAAAAAAAAAAAAAACGCTCGGACATATAACACGGGACTCGGGGAATCTCGAAGGCATTGCGCGCCAACCACGTCCGCGTCTCTGCGTCCCGTATGCATTGCGTGGAGTCGCGTTGCGTGTTCGTGCGTGTGCGTCGTGTATCGATGCGGCCCCGCGGGATCGTGTTCTTTATTCGGAACGTGAGAGCAGGTATACGACACCGTTGAATATATTGGACGAAAGTCAAATGCATCCTATATTATTTTAGCGTCCGACGTATCGCAGAAATACAGCGCTTGGCCGTGGCGTGCGTGCGTGCGTGCGTGCGTGCGTGCGTGCGCGCGTGCGAGCGATGCTGCCATTTCTGCCTGCATTTTAATTGCCAGATGATGTAAGCCCGTTCGGGCGTACGTGTCAAGTTTTCCTCCGGGCGACCGGTTCGTTCCTTTTCGGCTTCGTTGCTTGATTGAATTTTCGACACAGGCGAACGTAAGAACGCGTAGCACGTAGTTTCGTATGTACATGTACACGTCGTTGCTGTATTATCCGGCGATTCCTAGAAAATTTCGACAGAGAGTGTTATAAAGTGCACTGAGCCTTTTGTTTCTGAAACGATGTAGCCACGTTGACGTTCTTACGAGAATTGTTGCAGGAACAGAAGAGATTGAAAATCCTTCGGACGATAAAACCTGGCAATTGTTTCGCGGAAAGTACAAAGTCTAGCTCGTGTTGATACGAGCGTGCCACTAGGCGTAGAAGCGCGATGCAATTACTAACGGTGATGTAACGCGCGTATCTTATCGGGAAATTCATAAAACAAAACGTTTGCTTCGACGTGTTGGCTTCGCTTCGCATTTCCCTTTTAGATTTCAACGTTACGCGTCGATTCGGTTTCACACACCTTCAGTTTCGAATGAATTTTATCTAGGAGATGTCATTTGATTTAAAAAGCTACTTTTGTCAATCGCGGCAGATATTGCAGGGACAGTATCGAGGCGTGGATAGCAAACACGTTAAATAACTGCGTGATGGATCGTATTGACAGCTTTCCTCCTTTCTGAAACATAATTACACGACAGCGAGTAAATACAATTATCAAAAAATAAACGTGTTAACTAAAGACGCTTAGGTTCTAGAACCAAAGGGAAAACACAAGCGTGTTTCTCGTCGGCTAGTCCGAGTTAATCGTAACGTATATGTGCGCTAATCGTAAACAAACGGATATGACGTCACGGCAGCCATACGATCGAACTTATTTCGTACCCCTAACGTGTTGTACGACACGCGATACGACTAATTAAATCCCAGAATTTACACTCACGTTTGTTAAAAGTTGTTACGTATTATTCTACAGCGTTTTTTCTTTTTCTTTATTGGACTCTCTGTTATCGAGAGGTGATTGATATTTTGACTAAAACTTGTAAAACGGTTAATAATTAGTCCACGGAAACGTAAATGTTTCAATAATAGTGCACTGTTTCACCGCATGGTGTCGTGTTAGAATCAAGTTTGAAGTGTAAGTGGCGCCAACTTGTGGCCCGTTTTAAATGCTTTGTTGTTAAACGTACACTGATCGTTAGCAAACATATGTTCTAGGAAGAATGGGAGAAAAGTTGGCTTGGCACTTAACTAAAAAGTCAAAAAAGTTCATAGATTAATCCTTTGTTTAAACGAGATCTTTTGCCTTTTGAAAATTTGATCAATCGACGGATACTGTAGCGACCTCTACTTTGAAGTATTTAGATCAACGATATCTATGTTCATTAAATCGTCCCGTCGAGACGTGTATTTAATATAAACAATAGAATATTTAAAAATTAATTTTATTATCACCATGGAAATGTTTACAGACATTTATATATATATTGTAACCATAGTAGAAATTATTCCTTCGTTATTTAACTTCCATTATGTAATCTTCATTAAATTATTAGTAATTATATATTTTGTTATATTGATAATATTTTTATATAAACTATTAAAATTAATTACGGAGTTATTATTTATTTGTAGTATTGTGATATAAATTTAAATTATCATAATCACTACAATACTGTAGCGACCTCTACTTCGAAGAATTTAGATCAACGACATCTATGTTCATTAAATCGTTCCATCGAGATGTGTACTTAATATAAACAATAGAATATTTAAAAATAGCTATTAATTTTATTATCACCATGGAAATGTTTACTGACACTTATATATATTGTAGCCATAGTAGAAATTCTTGATTCGTTCATTCGTTATTTCGTTATTTAACTTCCATTATGTAATCTTCATTAAATTATTAGTAATTGTATAATATTTTTATATAAACAACTAAAATTAATTACGGAATTATTATTTATTTGTAGTATTGTGATATAAATTTAAATTGTCATAATCACTACAATACATTGAACACTATTGCCATCCAGTGGCGAAACAGCGATACTAATTAAAATTAGCGTTAATTCGCTGGTAAAGTCATAACCAATGATAATTTAATTGTCTTGCATGAATTTTATATGTTTGCGATGCTAATTAATTTTCTACAAATAACGTAATTATTTGATTAATTAGCTAATTACACAGAGTACGTATATACGTGCTAAATGAAAAAGTTACTGCACGTTATCGTTAGATGGCGCATGCGCGCAGTGTTGGCATACGTCAGAGACATCTTTCTGCCTGGTAAAGCCTTACAGACTCGACAAAGTCTCCCGAACGGCAACGTCGACGCCATTTTGTGGTGGTTTTTGTGAACATTAAGATGTTTGTGCCGGTGTTTTGTGAGAACTGAAGATTTTTACCGCTGTCTTCTTGTATCTGAGAACATGACGCAGTTTCTACCGCCAAATTTGTTGGCCCTATTCGCCCCGCGTGATCCTATACCGTATTTACCACCGGTTAACAAGCTCCCGCATGAAAAGAAAAATGGAGGCTACATCGGTGTTGGAGGTTTTCTTAAATATTTCGAGGTAACAAACATTTCGCCGAGTGGTTTCGTGCCGTACGTGCGTCACCGGAATGCCTTTTTTCGAGTGTTTAACTTTATCGGTGTTATCGATATTGAACGTTGCCCGAAGAGTAATAACGGAGAGTGTATATATTTTGTAGGAGCCGAAAGACACACCGCCACCAGTGCGCGTGGAGACGAGGGAAGAACGTCTTGAACGCAGAAGAAGAGAACGCGCCGAGCAAGTGGCGTATAAATTGGAGCAAGAGATTGCAGTATGGGATCCAGCTGGTATCCCAAATGTAACAGCGGATCCTTTTAAAACTCTTTTTGTAGCTCGAATAGTAAGTAGATTTCTTATTAGTAAATATATCAGTTTCCACGTTGATAAAACGTTTTGCTTCCCCTCTATATTCTTGTCATGTTCTTTTCAGAATTACGATACATCTGAATCGAAACTTAGAAGGGAATTCGAGGTATACGGTCCAGTAAAAAAGGTAAGCAGGTAATGGTATAGCAGCCTTCTGTGTTTAAGACGGGTTCAAGATCTGCATTTGCTGTTTCAGATAGTGGTAATTCATAATACAATAAATGGCAAACCTAGGGGATATGCTTTCATTGAGTATGAGCACGAACGAGACATGCACTGTAAGTAAAACGCACGAAAAGTAAACCCCTTCTTGAGAACCTCAGTGAGTCCATAGTCTGGAATTTCATCGTTACTTAGCGTCACTTCCAGCTAGTTATAGTGGGGCAGGGCTATAGTTAGGCTACCCATTTTCATTGGTACTAAACCAGACGGTATGGGGGGTCCCGCCATACATCCATGCAGGATTACCATTCTGTAAATGCATATATGGTAAACGATCAACTGAAAAGAAAAATATTGGCTGTCTTGATTAATGCAGTTTTTATCTTGTTCTTGGTACAGCGTGGTGGCCGCTGCCGGCAACTAGTGCCGTTCACTATTCCATGCAAAATCCCTGAACCTGCCTGATATGATAGGTTTGTATGTGTGGTAAGATCCAACATACAACAACGTTTGTTAGCGTCTATGCTTACCCTATTTATCTTGTCTGATTTTGTTGTATTTGCGGTTCGAGTGTTACCCCTTGCCAGGGGTTGCTGATAGACATACTTTTAAAACTTTGGGAATCAGGACTCTGTTCCATGCATATTTTGGGCCGATATTCTTTTTTATTTTTAACTACACGGTTTGCAAAAGTTAGCATTCTACATTGAAATTGATTGGTGGGCTTTTAGGAAAAAGGTTCAGGGACACGCTCTGCAAGCAGTTAGATTTTGCGTCTGTACATAAAGGTAGATTACAAACGTCATAATCAGACTATTTATATATATTATATCAAAATTTATATATATATATAATATATATAATATGTACATATATACATATACTTATAAATAGGTAACGTTTGAATTTTCTCGAGCAAAATTTAACCGCATTTTCTCTCAATGCTACATTAACAATCATGCATCATTGGGTAATAATGATACACTTCATCGTGCCTTGGTTGTAGCACCTATTTTTTTTTTTAATTCTTGGGTGTATTATTGTAAGTACTTGTAGGACAAACTTTACTCTTGTAAGATCTAAGTACAAACGTGTACCAAGTGAAATGTCGGGCACCGTGTATGGACTCTATAAACCAAACGACATTTTCTCGTTAGGTCTAGTACCAAAATGCATGTTCCAAACACTAAAATGATTGTTGTCTTTCAAGCATCATATTTCGTCGCTGTTTTCATTTTACTAAAGTCTTAAATTACTTAGTTTATCATCATTATTTGGAAGGTCATCTAATCATTCTTTCTCAACCACTTATTTACATTTAAGTCCTTGAACATATCAATTTCGATATAGAATACTAATTTGTTCAATGAATCTGACCTCGGACTTTCATCTCGAATCAGTCTATTCTTTTTTGGAAAGCGTGCATTGAGAAAAAAAAAAAAAAAGAAAAATACGGGTATGTTCAAAAGATCAAACGTTTTCCGTGAAGATAAAGAGTTGCCCTTGTTGAACGAGAACAAACTAATAACAATAATAATAACAACATCGAAAATGAGAGAGAGTTAAATTGTTAAAAGAAGAAGCTCGTTTTCTAACGTTACGTTAAATTTAATGTACAACTAGAACACAGTATCATATACACATATCAAAGTATAAAGCATACGATACTTGCGCACGGTTTGGTCGTAAGTAAAAAAAAGAAAAAGCGCACCAGGTAAATACAAAGTAAACTTCTTCGGAGATTGAACGAACATGTGAAGACTTGGCACCTTCCCAATGAATAACATACGCGCTGGCCTACTCTATGCTCGCGAGTCTCTTACAAGTTCATTTCACGATTAAACGTACTTCTAAGATTTGTGTTAACTTCCGTACGTAAGTAGCCGCGGTAGGTATTTTTGTATCTGCTATATCTTTTTGAACTTTACAAACGTAGATTTAAGGTACCGAAAAATCCGTACATTTTATTACTGATTCATGCCCCGCGAATATAACGTAGACTCGTGATTTTATACGGTAAAATGATCATTACGCTGCGGCATCGGACATCTTCTTCTTCTTCTTCTTCTTTCAAAAAAAAAAAAAAAACGTTAGCAGTGCGAGAACACGCAATCTCGGCATATCCGACGCTTTGTAACGCTTTAGTGAAAACGCAAGGAAATCCTCCATCATTCGGTGTGCGTGTATGTATGTATCGTGTAACGCAGAGAAATCAACCAGAGTCGAGAACTCTCGTGCCGTGATGGTACGTACATTTTACTTTATAAAAAAAAAAAAAGAGCGCACGTTATAATCGGTACGCGTATAATCAGGAATAATATGTGCCGATACCTTACGACCTCAATCATTTCTAGGAAAAAAAAAAAATGGTAACGATTATTAGCTTGGATAATATCGCCGAGACGATGACGAAACTAAAATCTGACCGGAAAATAAAAATAAAAGACCGCGAAAAAAGAAAAAAAAAAGAAAAAAAAAAAAGAATCGGATATAGGTAATGCAGCATCGTTCGATACTCGATTTATTATTCCTTTTTTTTTTGTGTTTTCGGTATTCGCATTCTCAGATTGTTCTTGCATTCGTATATTTTCCATTTGTACGTGAGCGAAAATTTTCTCGAGAACGTTTCACGGTTCGTGAAAAAAAAAAAAAAAAGATAGCCTTTCGAAGAGGATGATTTTCTTAAACGCGATATTCGTATTTTCAAGTATTTTAAAGATTGAAGTCTTTTCAGAAAAAGCAAAAAAAAAAAAAAAGAAAAGAAAAAAAAAAAGAAATTTTTTCTGCCACCCGAGATTTATTTCCTCGGGACGTAGGAGTCCCATAGTTTACTAAATAGCGAACGTGGGATCGCGGGCAGTTGGTAATTTTCAATCGGTACTTTTAGCTGCTTATAAGCATGCGGATGGTAAGAAAATAGATGGTCGCAGAGTGTTGGTGGACGTCGAACGAGCTAGAACTGTGAAGGGATGGCTTCCGCGGAGGCTCGGCGGCGGTCTCGGTGGAACGCGAAGAGGCGGTCCCGACGTGAACATTAAACACTCTGGTCGGGAAGATAATGAAAGAGAGCGAGAACGGTATCGTTTGGAACGAGAGAGGGAGAATTCTGGACGCCTTGATAGAGACAGGTATAAATACTTATTTCATAAATAAATTTCTTTCTCAATAATCCAAACTTTCAACACACATTTCATCGTGTATGTTTCTATGCAGAGATCGCGATCGCTTGGATAGAGAGCGCAGAAGGTCCCGCGATCGTAAAAGAAGAACAAGAAGCAGATCGCGCGATCGGAAACGTAGACGAAGCCGCGATCGTTTACCCGATCCGGACATTGAGGAGATTCAGAGAGACGAACGGCCGCGCGACAGGAGAGATCGTGATCGCGATCGTGATCGCGACCGGGACCGTAAGAGAAGACGTTCCAGGAGTAACGATCGTGATCGCGACAGGGACCGTAAGAGAGACAAGCGCGATCGTGATCGCGAACGTAGAGACAGAAAGGATCGGGGTGATCGTCAAGACGAGGACACGAAAGAAATCCGGATCAAGGAGGAGCCTTTGGATGGTACGTTTCCTCTTCGGTTCACCGTAAATAATCGGTGTTGTATCGTTCCAATACTGGTTGGAATGCTAACTGTATTGTTGAACATTTTTCAGATTACCCCGACTACAGTAACACGTTCTCAACGTCCGGATCATACTTCACCGCTGTGAAATATGAAGATGATAACGATCAAGAAGTAGAAGAAAAATACAGAATTCCAGAAGGTCGTCCAGATCCCCCTCCCTACAACAACTATGATTCCGTACAAGACTATTGATCTCGATGATATTGCATTGATCTTGCATTGTTCTTTTTCGTTCCCCCCCTCCACGCACGATAACTTAACGTAATTGCCAATAATGTATTGTATTTCCTACTGTTGTTAGAGTGTAACAATGAATTGTCTACATTGAGTATGTAGTTTCTGTAGAATCTGCAGCGACCAGATGCTCAAAATGAGGATATTGCAAGGTAAGCAGATTTGGATTAATGATTTATATACAGGATTTATATACAGTTACTTTTAATTTGATCGGTTCGAAATTTTATATACTTGCGATTGACATGGTAACAAAACGACGAGTCAATCTAGGTTCATGAAATTCAATTACTGTAGCAATTTGTGTGTGTGTGTGTGTGAAACCTCGCAATATGAAACTGGTAGGTCAATAAACATTCGAATTTGCGCCTATTATAATTTCAATATTCAGTTTAAATATGTACATAAATACATACGAGATATAAAGTTAGTTCTTTCACAATTGCTACATGTATATTTATATATGTATAAATAAATAAAGTAAATTAAACACTTACGTTTGTCAGGTACCCTGCTAGTTGTCTCCAATCTTTGTAATTTGTAATACCCAAGGAGTAACACGATTTAAACGAAGTTCGAAGTTCGTCGTCGGAAAGATCGAAGTTTACAATGGTTTATGAAAGATGAAACGATGGTGTTTATGTTAACGTGCATGTGTACATACTTCAATACATACGTGTTGCCGGACGTTGCGGTATCGAACGAGAGTTATTTTTTGTTACATCTACCGTAAGTGACCAGTTCATCGCGTATTAACTGGATCAGATCATTCCGGTCTCTTACTTGTGTACACGATGTCGATAGCGAGATTAAAAATAGTAAAAACTTCCAAGAAAATCAATCGCAACGATAAAATTATTGTACTTTAAATAAATTTGTCTAGAATAATTGTATCGTAGGTATTTCATTACGGGAAATTATTTTCATTTTTCTATGAACGTCGTATCATTCCTAAATTTCATGTCGATAAAAATTCAAATCGTAAAAGAAATATGTACCACGTATATCCTTCTGTTTTTCTCGTTTCTTCTTCGTTATTATTGTTATTATTCATTTTTGTTCGAAAAATTGTTACAAGTTAACAATTTTTCTTTTTAACAAATGTTAAATCAGAAGTTGCAGTGTGTATATGAAATTAACTAGCATTTAAATTTGGCGCCAAAAGTTGCCGAACTTTGACGCGTAGCGCTACGGTAGTCGTGTAACGTTTCTTGCATTTTCGAAGGAACCGTTTTGCATTCTCTTTCTGCGTTTTGGCGAAGTATGGGTAAACAAACTGTCATTGTTACAAAAATTTCATTCGTACAAGTTGTGCAAACCTAGTGTTTCTTCATTAACATTGAAACTTTTCAGAATCATTTGCGAATCCAACGGAGATTTTGAAAACAATATCACGTGATTCGAGTAACTGAATTTTACGTTTATCGAATGTTTCTCGATGCAAATAAAATGTAACAAAAGCGTATTTAACAAGAATAGTCGTAGTTACAGAATGTGTGTAAGTAAATAAAATTTAACAAAAATATATTTTACAAATATACATACATACATATATATATATATATATATATATATATATATATATATATATATATATATATATTACAGAAATAGTTGTTACAGAATCATCAGTTGATGACACGAAAGATAGAAAGAAGCAAAAAAATTAAAGGTGTAATCGGATGAAATGGAGACCGATTAGAAGCAAGCGATGATAGATGATGATAGCAGCGGGTTATAGCGAGTGCAAGTTCCTTATCCTATTTGCGCGATGTCGTTGTCCGATGTCACCGCCATATTAAACGCTCGTTCCCCGGAAATTGCAATTCCCTAGCAATAACTTGGAATTGCTTCTGATTCGACTATCGTCGCCTGGCCTATCGTTCATCGGTCGAAAAATCACTCTGGCAAATTGCGTCGACATTGCGATTCTCCTGTTCTGTTCGAGCAGTTGCCCTCGACTTTCCTTGATTTTCCCTAAATACGCCTATAACTCGGCATTATCCATGGAAGCTTGGAGGAAAGGCGCCGTTTCATTTTTCGGTTCAATGCGGGGAAAATCTTGCAGATGTTATCGGTACATTATTTTCTGTTTTTTTTTTTTATTATAATGATTAATTTATTATATTTTTTTTATAATTAATTTATTACAAAATTTAATTTATTTAATATATTAAATTTAATTTATTATATTTTTTTTATTATAACAATTAATTTATTATAATTCTTTTACAAATACAAATTTTCGATGAATGAAATTTCAGTTATCTTTCCTTTGCAGTTGAATTGCGCCTACGCGTGATTTCAGCCCACGTCGTTTTCTTTGAACGAAAAAGAAGATGATTGGCGATAATGGAACAGGCAACAGTCGAGTACAGAAATTGTTTAATCAAAAATAGTTGGCGCAATGTTTTCCTCGGATGAATAAATCGAAAAACCGCAGGCGTAAGTAACTCGAGCGTTTCCTAACTCGTCGCAGAGTGCTTAATTATTAGCAGTTCTGGATTCGGATCGGTTTCTTGTCGTTGGCGGTAGAACACCACTTTCCCACTCCTAATTCACGTAGAAAAATCTTATTTACTCGGTCAACAGACTTTCGAAACTCCGTTTCTGCTTTTACGTCGCACATGAATAAGTGAAGTTATTTATAGTTCCGTCAGAGATGGAACTTTGGAATCTAAACGTTCGAATCGCAAGGATGTCTGGATTGAAACGTTTGACTCCGCTGGCACTTGTGTTTGAAATTGTTCAATGAATCGAGTCGAGCGGAAAGTCCTTAGTTCTCCGGTATCCATTAAGTTTCAGTAATTTTTTTCGATTCCTCTGAGAATCGAAGAAGCGGAGAGATGCATCGCTCGTATCCGTGACTCGTGAGCCGGCGTCGTAAACCGAACGCGATTCGAAGCACCCACGGTAATTCTATTTCGTACAATTTTAACGACGATTCGACTCTGGCGAGCTCGGCGAGCTTATTGCTCGTATCGGGCTTTTCGGATAAAAGTTGCTCGCCGATTAATCTTGCTAAAGGATATTACTTAGGGAATGATAAAGTACTCTCTCGTCGATGGTACTTGCTTTGAGCGTGCTCTCTCTCTCTATCTATCTCCACTCTTTTGATTCAACGCTGCATGATATTACGCCGTCCGGCTTCTGCTGTTTGACCAAACGCAGAAAATTTCTTTTCAGGGGAAAGAAGCTCACTCGAAACACAGGGTTTACGTTGAAACGCAGAGCAAGGTTTACTTTGTTTATAAAACGGCCAGGAAGCCTGGACTTAGAGAATCGAACTATACATGCACCGCGAGCAAACTTCACACACACGGGAATTATCGGCCACGGAGATCCGAATCAATGCACCGATAGAACGCGGCGCGGCCGTTCGTGAATCTTTTATCAGCGTTTGTACGAAAGAAGATTAATCATTCGCGTTTACGATCAATGCGATCGTTTGTTTGGTAGTAGCAGCAGCAGCTAGTGCCACCAGGGATGAAAACTGAAATGGAAACAATGTTTCGCGAACCGCTTAACAGAGTGAGAGGCAACGGTGTCATCGGGACGACAATATGGGACGAGAGACGAGCGCTATGAACGTTTTAGGGGTAATTAAAAGCAATTTCTTAATTGCGCGAATTCGTATTATCCGGCACAGCAGGACGAACATGTACAGGGAGAGCTTTCCATCGAGAGTAATTGTTCCAGAAGAAGTAAGACCGAGGACGTAACGCGTTCGTTAAGATAACGATGAGAAGAAGGAGGGAGAGCAAAACGAGAGAAAGATGAAATCAAGGAGGAAGCGGCAAACACTTGTGGATAAAACAGAGAGAGAGAGAGAGAGAGAGAGAGGGAGAGAAAGACAAAAGGTGAGGAAGACAAAAGGTGAGGAAGAAATCGGAAAGAATAGTCAAGAAAAATTTCTAGAAAGAAAGCGTGATAGCACGAGGGATGAAAGAGAGCGAGAGAGAGAGAGAGAGAGAGAGAGAGAGAGAGAGAGAGAGAGAGAGAGAGAGGAAAGGAAGCGAAAACGCGTATGGTGGTCAGAGGGTTTTCGGTGGTAGAGGGGAGAGAGCAGTGCACGGCACGGCACGGCGCAGGTGTGCGCCGGTAGCCCGGTCGCTGGCATGGTACTCCGCACGCCTTAGGTGCGCGTGTGCGCCGAAAGAACGATAGTGTAAAGTTCGAGGCGTGTGTATAGGTGCGCCTGTGCGGTACACAGGCACGATACCTTCCAGTTTGATCGCGAAAGAGCGACGAGAGAACGCCAGTACGGGTATATCGAAAGAGGAGAGGGTTGGTACCAGGTTGGGGGCCAAGGTTTGGGGAGAGAAGAGCAAGGAGCAAGAGAAAGAGAGTGTCAGGGAAAAGAAATTAGCTAAAAAATGGAGGAGGGGGGGGAGGATGAGAGTGTAGTTTTTGGGCCGTAGTGTGGGCCCAACTAGTAAGTGATCGAGATCGAGGAAAAGTTAGAGAGGAAAAGGTAGAGACTGAAACAGGATAGACAAGTAGTTAGACAAGTGGATTGGTTTAGAATAGGGGAAGGCAGTTCGGCAGGCAGGTAGGCAGGTAGGCATGCAGGCAGCGATGCAGGCAGCAAGCCAGATGGCGAGGGTAGGAAGCAAGGTGGGCGGTCGAAGGGGTAGTAACGGATAGTAAGGGGAGTCGGGGGTGTTCGGAAGGGGTTGCCGGAGGTGGCGGCGTACAGGGGGCGGCAGGCTGGTGGTGCGTCAGAGCCTGCAGTGAGCCCGGCAGTGAGGCGAAACGTTGGGCTCCGCGCGGGAGTCTCGTGGCCGCCCGCCTTTTCTTTTAAGTCGGGGTGCCTTTTTCCTTACACCCACCCCCCGCCCCTTTTTTTCCGTCGCCCTCGCGGCTCTACGGACCGATCGTCGCTCTCTTTTCAAGGCACGCGAGTAGAGAGAGGCTCGTCGCCGTGATCGTTCCGCGAATACGTACGTACACCGTCATCAGTCAACGGGGTTCGTTCTTCTGGTTCCGTCTTTCTTTCATTCCGATTTCTTCTTCGCCTTCGGTCGCGTCGCGTCGCTCGCGGTTTCGTCACACCGCGAGAGGTTAGCCGCTGGGAATGAAAACGCGCGACTCGCCGAGTGGATGAAGGATCGGATCGCAGATTCGCACAGAAGGGGAGGAAAAAAAGACTAGACAGGGGAAAAAGAGAGAGAGAGAGAGAGAGAGAGAGAGAGAGAGAGAGAAACGGAGAGAGAGAAGGGGATAGAGAGACGGGGTTTCTCGAGACGGGACGGTGCGGAGACACAGACACCGTGGACGCGAGTTGGCTGCGGTACCGGAGAGGATCTACCGCAGGAAGACCGGCGGTGGTGCGTGACCTCCGGCTCTAGCCACATGACACGGTGTTCGATCTCGCGTGCACAATCTCGTTACGGTTCTTTCAACGAGAAGAGGATATCGTGCGTTCTCTTGGTGATCGTTGCGACGCGTTGGTGGTATCGGTCGGTCGGTGGGTGTCGAGGTGTCGGTGACGACGGTGTCGGTGTAGGTGTAGGTATAGGTGTAGGTGTAGGTGTCGGTGTCGCTGGTCGCGGGGCGATCTCTTTCGGCGAGGCCTCTCGGCGGCGAGCCGAAGCAACCACGTTCTTCGTTTCCGCGTTCTTCGTTCAGTGGCTGGTTTGAATGTTTCGTTTCGTTCCAAGTGGACGCGGAGGAAGCAGGAGGGTGCAACGTGGTTAGATAACACGGGCGACGACATTCGTTTGCCAATGTCAATGTTAACAGTGGTTGGAAGACGGCCACGGTGATATCGCTGGCACGCGTAACACTCACTCGTACCGTCTAACACATTCCGCTCGTCCATGTGCTCCAGTTGGCTCGGCAACGGCAACGACAACGACGACAACGACAACGTGAATGGGAACGGGCGCAAGCACGGCAAGAACGGAAACAGAAACGGAAACGGAAACGGCAATGGTAACTGCAACGGCAACGAGAACGGCAACGGCTGCAATGGGTCGCTCGGCTGGGGACAGAGAGTGAGAGAGGTAAAAAGCAAGGAGAAACAAGGAGCAACGAGCGAGTTGGTGCACAGGTGCATAGCACGAAAGGGCGGAGATCAGCGGAGAGATTTAGGGTTAGCGACGAAGACGAGGATGTCGAGAGGATGTCGATCTCTCGAGAGATGAGAAACGGAGAAAACGCCGCGTGTGGCTTTTCTTGCCCGCGACCTCTCTCACGCACCGCCAATGCGGCTGAGATCGCGCCATCTCATTGGCTGCAATCGTGCCGTGGTGTCGGCGATGGGTACGTCCAAGTTCGATGCTCGTGTTTGACCGAGGGGCACGCGTGCGTTTCCTCTGCGCCACGCTTACTTTACTCCTCTCCGCGGTTTCCTTCTCCGTTTCTCTTCGCGAACGGCGAACGTTCCCTCTTCTCTCGCCACCGACACTTGGCCGGCTGTTTCTCGTTATTCCAAGATAACAGGATGCATCGCGGGGACTCGATTTCGTCGTGTTTCCTACTCGCAATTCCTACACGCCATCACCATTGTCACCGAGCGACAGTTCTTGCGTCGCGCGTCGCGTTGTTGACGTTGCGTCGAATTTCTGCGTGTCTGTCGTGATAATTTCTATCGTATGAAATGTGTCGTCAATGAGAGACAGTGTGCGAAAGCAACTCGGAAGGTTTCAACGAACCGGCAACGAATCGGGTATACCGGGGCAGTCCCCTGAAAGCGATCAGGCTTCACTGTCGCCGCTCACGCGATCATTTAAAATTTTCTTCAACTTTATAGTGAAACTTGACCTCGTCCACCCTGAATGATCAAGAAATTTCACCCTTGCATCCTCGACTCTGTTGTTCTTCGTTGTCCTCTGTTTGCCAAACGTTCGTTTGAACGTGTGTGTGTGTGTGTGTGTGTGTGTGTGATACGCGGTGGCAATCGAACGTTATCTCGACGATGCGAGCGAAGCAAGGGGAGTGGAAGGCGTAATCAAGGTCGTTGATTTCAGCTATACCTCACGCGAGCCGATTTGATTTCGTTTCGATAATCGGGGGTTTTTTTTTTTTTTTTTTCGTGCCACGCGAGCCAATGCTTTCTCGTTTGACGATCTCCGCACGCGATTCCTACGTTCGTACACACGTGTAGCGTGTATATCACCCCCTTGCGCAATCGATACACACAGTTGATGACCATTTACTGCACCGAGCGTAGTTAGGTTAACGGCGACGCGTCTTCCTTTCGTTTCGTTCTCGTTGGTAGCCAGTTTTCTCCTCCGGTAGCCAGTGTACTCGTGTCACGGAACGAGATGGACTGTTACGCGGTCACGAGACCAGTTTCAAACGACAAGAATGAAATTCTCGTGTAATTTTTACTACACCACGGCCAATAACCTTGGGCTCGAACTATATACGTATATATATATATACGTATATATATATCTATTCCACTCTCTACTCTCTGTCTCTACGCTTATTTACTTACTCTCTGCGCTCTCTTCGACCTTCTCGTTTTATACTCAACTCGAACTCGTATCGCCAGCGTTCGGTCAGTTTTTCGATCACTCTGTCAAGCTTCGTACAATCGAAGTTCTAGTGGCCACGTGTTTCCTGGAGATTGCCTCGATCGAAACTACGTCGATTAATTTCGAACTAAACTCCAAGTTTTATTCTTCATACGTAGAAACGTGTATCTTGTGGAACCAAACGTGTCGTAGGCGCAGACGTTTCAATGATCCTATGCCTATTTAGCAGTTTCTGCTCAAAAAGCAAAGCCGTATCAACGCGAGTGACAGGGGTGTCGCGCGGTCAATCGACCTTAATTCGTTAATTCCGCCGATCGAAGACGCAGCGAAAGGATTTTCATCGCGGTTTAGGGAAGGGTGCTGGCCGGATTCCTCCGCGGTCTCACCGATTAGACGTGGCGGTCGTTGAAATCCCGAAAACGAGTCACGATTCATCTTTCCTTCTGGCACCGGCCGCTGGTGTTTCTTCTTCATCTCTTTTTTTTTTTTCTCTTTCATTTGGCAGCCTCTCATCTTCCCCTTCTCGCTCTCTCTCTCTCTCTGGACCTGTAGCGTTTCTCTCGATGCCAACAACTCTCTCTCCCGCCGCTGTTACCAGCGCTTGACCATCACTCTCGTCAAACTTTCCCATTTGGCAACGAACCACTGTTGATTACCCCGTATTTTTTTTTTTTTTTTTTCCATGACGACGAAACGAAAGCAACGCTACCGAGAGAATCGGCAGCGTTTCAACGTTGTTTGACGCAGATGGCGGTTGAACTGGCGCGGAAATGAATGCTCGATCGGATCCGTGCGTGGCTACGTGTCCCCGTCCGTGGAGAACAACGACCGTGTGGCTGGCCCCGGGCCAATACAAATCTGGTTGAAGGGTGAGAAACGTGGAAACCAGGTGGAAGTGGGGGTGGTGGACTGAGAGGAGAAGGAAGAAAGGGTGAAAGGAAGAACTCGCGAGTGAAGACGAAGAACTTTCCGTTTCGTATTAGTGAAATATATATATACGCTCGCGTGGTTTTCGATTATACCCTCGGTGTTGCAAGATGCACTCGGGGCGCCGTGACGGCGGTTGAAGGACCAGGAGGCCGAGTGGCTCGTTACAGCCCTCGATTTCACCTTCTTGCCGACTCTTCTTCCCTTCTTTTCGTTTCGTTCCCCGAGGAGCACTCTCGCTCGCTTCGTCGCTTATCTCCTTCGCATCACCGACTCGCCGCGTCAAACAGGTGAGAAACAACCGCGGAACAACACGAAGTACGCACGCGTTTGTTAATAACTGTTCATTACTGTAGCCGTTTCTCCCTTTGATCTGAGAGTCTCTCTGATTCTCCTAGAGAAATGGCGATAGCTCTTACGATAGCGTGCAGATTGCTGCCGCAGATTGCACGAGCATGAAGAAGTTTCGAATATATTCGAGATGAATCGCATCGTCTTTTGAGTTGTTTTGGAAGAAGAAAGTGGTCCATTTATTTTCGAGTCAAGATTTTGCACGAATCAAGGTTTGCGTTTTAATAAATTTAAAAGTATTGGTAACTAATGATGGTAGTGTACAACCCAATGTATGTGTGTATCATGAACATTGTTTAGAAAATGACACGTATCTGATGACTATAAATGGGCTTAAGTCACTTTCGAAATTAATGAAATTTAATTTTTTAATTTAAAAAAAAAGGCATTTAATTTTTAAAAGAGGCATAATAACAGGCATTTAATTTTTAAGAAAGGCATAATAATAATAGGCATTTAATTTAAAAAAAAGGCATAATAATAATAGGTATTTAGTTTTTAAAAAAAGCATAATAATAACCGGCATTTAATTTTTAAAAAATGCATAATAATAATGGGCATTTAATTTTTAAAAAGGGCAAAATTATAATAGGTATTTAATTTTTAAAAAGGAATAATAATAATAGGCATTTAATTTTTAAAAAGGACATAATAATAATAGGCATTTAATTTTTAAAAAAGGTATAATAATAATAGGCATTTAATTTTTAAAAAAGACATAATAATAATAGTCATTTAATTTTTAAAAAGAGCATAATTATAACAGGCATTTAATTTTTAAAAAAAGGCATAATGATAGGTATTTAATTTTTAAAAAAGGTATAATAATAATAGGCATTTAATTTTTAAAAAGGGCATTATAATAATAATGGTTATTTAATTTTTGAAAAAAGACATAATAATAATAATAGGCATTTAATTTTTAAAAAGGGCATAACAATAGTAAGCATTTAATTTTTAAAAATGCCATAATAATAATAAAAAAAGGTGTTTAATTTTTGAAAAAAGGCATAAATCGCTTGAAGAAAGCTAAAATTTCCTTAAAAAAGAAAGAAATATATACAATTTTGCGTTGTTAAATTAAAAAATCGTCGTCGAAGCTTCCTCTCCTAATTACATTTTATTTTCAATTGTACCTAAACACCACGTGCTGTTTATTACTTCTGTTATTGCGTTTGGTTTTGCATTTTCTCGCGGTTACATCGCGACACTCCTTATAATCCATATTATAATTGAGATTGCCTCAGCCTCGACTTCGAGATTGTCATTGAGCCTCGCTTTACCTCTCGCCCGTTCGATCAATAGCGGCGATTCGAATACGAATTCGTCACGGTTCGGTCGAGGCACGATCGTCGTTCCTTTCTCGCGTAACGAGAGATCTAGGCGACCTCGCGCCTAGATTAGATTTTCCTCGTTTCGTTTGGTGGAAAGCTGAGATCGCCTGGTGGCTCGTCAATTCCTACCGCGTTGTTCCATCCCTGAATTATGACCGTGGGAAGTTAACAGAGTCCACAGAGCACGCGTTTTCAATTTGCTCACCGATATTTCATTTCCATGGAGAGGATTTTCATATATTCGGGCGTAAAGAAGAAAATGTTTTAATGAAAATTTTCTTTTTTTTGGGAGAGTAATGAAACATTACTTATTGCACTAGATATCAGTAGAAATGTCAAGAAAATTATTATCATTTATTGTTATTCAGGATTGTCGATAATTGTATTAAAATCCACGAGATTGATCACTATTATTCTATACTCCAAGCTATTATTTCTTTTCTCTGGAAAAGTCACGTGCCCCCGAGGATTTTTCATGTGGGGCACGAAGAAGAAAATGTGCATTTTTAGTGAAAATTTTCTTTTTTTCGAAGAGTGATGAGACGTTATTATTATTATCATCTCGTTAGATATCAATAAAATTATTATCAACGCTAGAACTGCCGGCGATTCGAACGTAAAATTTCCATCAGAAATGTTAAAGTAATATTTATGATACAGCGAAGCACACTTTCATTTATCATTTAAAAATCATTTAAACCTCTGAAAATACACATCTGTGAAATATTAAACAGAAATTACAAGTTGATCGTTTTGACCATTTTGGTAGTTCTGCCAGCAATTTATATTTACGAAGCGTAACTTCAAATAAAATGACACAGCATTGGAGATAATCGTTGAAATTTATTAAAATTATTAAATTTGTCGTTCTAAGTGTGTTGTCGTTTAAATTTAAAGCAGTCGTTGCTA